GGGATATACAAAGCAACAAAGAAGTAATCTTATAAATGCATTAGAAACACATGCATGAAAGAAAAAAACATTAAAATACATATCTAAGGGTTCATTTTCTTAACATCACATTATCTGACCTTTTCCGCTTGACTCATACATATACTAGATATTGCAAATAAGGAAAACCATGAGACCTGTGTTTCTTTGGGCCTGGCTTACTTCACTTAATATAATTTTGAAAAAAAAAGTTCTTGAATCTATCAGAAAAAAGTAAAATAATTGTTTATGGAACAAATGATGTCACACACTTAACAATGTCTCATTGTAACAAGCAAGACAGACACAGTCCCTCTAATAATAAAGTTTTTGGAATATAATATAGGTATACACACAAAACATGTATATCTTACTTTGCATGCACAACTGTACTTTATATAAGAGCAAGGAGAAAGTAAGGATGTCGACCATTACATGTTAAAACTGTCAGTGTTTTACTTTTTCTACTAATACTCTTAAAACCAACATCTGAATTTCATAGTTAATACCCTTAGTTTCTTTATTGAACTTTGAGAAAAACATAATGCTAATGTATTGACTTAGCTATGCACAAGATGTAAAACAATAGTAGAGTGCTCAAAAAGCAGGTTTCCAAAGCTGCTAGTGTTCCTGTAATGTCTTAGATAAACAATTACACCTCAGCTTCATCATCTGTATGATAGAGAAATCATAATCTATCTCTTGGGTTCTTAAAGAGGTTAAATGACATTTCTAGAACAAAAAAAGAGCTAAAAATATGAGTCTCACCATGAATATTCTCATTGTTATATTATTAAAAGTTTGGAAGATATGCATAATTTCTGTGCTTGGTTAGCAGGTTTACAGATGATACTTACTTTCTACTTCCTATAATGGGCTTACCAGACTTTTTAAAGAATCATAAAAGTTTCTAATTTTTCTAAATATGAATTGGCTAAGGTGGATAAAATAAGCTTTTTCCAGTATGCTTTTATGCTTACTTTATGATTCTTCAATTCAAAATACTTGCACACCCCTGGAGGAACAGACAATTCTGAGAAATCACTTTCTGCTAGATGCTGGGGCAGGGGCCAGAGTCTTCACAATGCCTGGAAGTCAGCAGAGGCTTCTGCTCTGTTGGCCTGGACACAATGACCTGTTGCTTCCTGCCAGTGCCCTTGGGAAT